TTTGATCACCTGACCGTAAAGTGACATGAACAGGAGGAAAACCGATAAAAAGGGGTCCGGGGACCCCAAAAGGAGTTCCCTCGAAACCAGATGTTGGTGTCGTTTTGGGGCTCCATGAGTAAATCTGAAGGTGAGTCCGTAGTGGTAGTTTGCTGAAAGATCGGGCAAGCACACACACAACCACATTGAACCAGATCTGTCATAAGATCTAGGATGCAAGAGGCGATGTTTAACAATCCTGTCATGTCTCACCGACAGCGCCAACAGAACGAGTGTGAACACACAAGCGTTCCATGGATACACTTTATTACCTCCTACTCTTGGTTTGACTGGCTACGCTCTGGAAGCACTGGATCCACTTCGACTGAGACATCAAGCTCACAAGCAAGAAGAAACTCTGCGAAGATTGGTCCACAAAACTGGGTACGGATCCTTCATGGCTGGTTGAAAGAGAGAATAAAGAGAACATGCAAAGGCAAAATTCCGGGAACGCGGTCGAGAAGGGTTCCGGGGACGCATGGCAGGTTCCGAGAACGGCTGGGCTGCACGGGACATAGGTTCTGAGGAGGGTTCCAGGGAGTGGGAACAGGGCGGGCGGTTCCGAGGAGGGTTCTTGGGGATGGGTGGGGCAGCTGGAGATATCACCTGAGCTCATTTAACCTGATGCTACCTAGAGTCTCCATGACCCTTAAAAAATGGGGTCATTACCCAAAATAAAGAAAGGGGTCATGGACGCATGTTTCAAGGGTGGAGACGGGTACTAATCCAAAACCTCTCCGATCCACTTCCATGACGCTATGCCTTTTGCGCTGTACGTGGGCAGCGGGTGCAGTTTCCCCCGAAGCGGCTGGCTTCCGCGGCACGATGCGCGCCTTCCGCTCCATGTCCAGCTTCTTGCCGTTGCGCTCCAGGAGTCCACGATCCAAAGCCTTGGGCCAACCGTTTGGGGCTGCCGCCCCCCCAATTCCCCTGCTACTTTTTAGACTTTCTTCGGAGATTTGATTGCACCCCTACTTGAATCATCACTTCTTCGATCATCATGGGGGGGGCTGCCGCCAACACCATTTGTAGGGGTTCTCGGATTTTGATGGATTTTCACACTTCTTTGCCTCAAAATAGGGGAACCCCTGAAATGGTTGGTTTGCGGTGATTCTCGCTTGAAAGCATCCAAAATGGGCAGCCTCCAAAAAAGACACAGCCATTTGAAGGCAATTGGCCCCTCAATGTTATCTATCCATAGGCCGCGGGACTATGCGGGACTCATTGACAAATACAGGGCATCCATTATCTCCGGGATTAGCAGCTGGAAATACGTTGCAGCTGATGCAATCAGCTGTTTCTGTTGCTACTGCTTCTGCTATACATGTGAGGCACGGTCAACATTTTCCGTTCTCCCAAGAGGCCATGGACGAATTCGTGAGTCCCCCCGCTTTGCTGTTGAACCCACGTCCCTCCTAGATAGGCCATAGACCAACTGGATTTCCTCTGATCAAATCTGCGGGCATCTCAGGCCAAAGGGCTGTAGGCGTCGCCAGCCGCAGAACCAGCACTGGCCTGGCAGTGGCGAAAACTCCAGCTACTTTGCCGGAATGCGTGGCATAGATAGGCTGTTCGGCTTCTGGTGTGAATAGTAATCCGTAATGCTCGTGGTGGGATTTCTATGTTCTTGGTGGCTCAGATCCCCTAGGACCTCTTTCTTGGAACCGCAACTGCTGCTTCCGTACGCTGGATGCTAGTACGCTGCCCAGAACCTCTCTGAACAATTCCAAATCGTGTTCCTGGAGCATGACCAAGAGACTACGTACCGATTTACCAGTAAAGTCGTGACATGCACTGAGGATTCCACTCACCAGGAAAGTGGGCTCGGACTCGTATACAAGTTGCAACGCGTTGAAGCAGGTCTAATGGGCACTTTTTGCCCGGATACATTCAGTGCATGTGACATGAAGGACACAACAAAACACACCTGACAGATTTGTCCAAAGTTATCTCGAAACTTTGGGTGTGCATCTGGTCCGATTGCCCCGACTCGTTTGCCACCTTAATCAGCCAACAGGCGCTACGCCGCTAGGTGACAAAATGCACAAGTAGAGGACGACTCGGGCGAGGTTGTGCACGATGCATCTCAGGCCTCCAACATGGAGCCAACGCCGAGGCCGCAAATACTTCACTTCTGCCGTCAAAATCTAGATATCTGGGGGCCACCAGCTGTCTGCAATACTCAACAGAACAGAAACAACATGTGGAATGGAACATCTCTGGCAGTTCCAACGGAACCGCGACAGGGCTTCGGAGTCCAAGTTGCATCTTTTTGGGCTCTCCGCTTCTCAAACGAAGCGTTACGGAAGCACCGGTCGACCGAAACGGGCGCCAGCGGCAGGCCAAGCCGTCATTAGCTTGGCAACTGCCAGGCTACATCCTGCTGAAACTCTCAAACTCCTCTTTAGAGTGCAGCTTTCAGCTGAGATTGAGAGAGGGCGACCCCCCACTCCCAAGTGCTTGGCAAGAAAGTCACCTCTTTCGTTTAACCCAAGACAACATCCTTGACCATGGAAAAACAGGGCACCCCTTTTCTTGCCGGTTGAGTTTAAAGGGACTTCCCCTTCCCCAAAAAAGTAGAACAAAAGGGCACCTGCTTCGGTTGCAGACTCCCGTTGGGAGAGGCAGGCCACCAGTTTGTCGAGTCTTCGACGTTTCGAAATGCGCACAAGTCCGGACGAAACCTTGGCCCAACTCAAGGACTTCTACTCCAAATAGCGTGCCACTACGTACCCTATAGGAGAAATTCCCTTTGGAGTGGTTCAGCCGAAACAGCATGCTGGGGTCCTTAGATGGTGGTAAAACTTTGCTAGACTGAAAGCAGCGCCATCTATTTTCAACCTAACCGACCTCAATCAGATTCTGACCATTGCTTCCTCATCTGTATGATCTTCAGGTCCACTTGGATGTTTCCTCAAGTCAACCGCCGGCGCATGTTACCGGCATATTAGCCTTACCTGGTGTGTGGTCAATGAATGAGGAGCAAGGGCAAAAAGCGGCTTCACACAATGCTTTCAATAAAACCTTTGGTGGATGCTGCCGCCCATGCCAGTCAATGCCTCATGCAAGGTTTGCTGCTTGAAACTTGTCCAATTCGATCTTGCATTCATGCACCATCACACACTTTGAGTGACACGATGCATCCCATTGAAGGCACACCCGCACCGTCTGAAACGAGCCAACATTTATTGAAGCCTGTGAGAGTTTGGACAATTAGGACTACTAAACCCCTGATTGACTAAGGGGGCGGGTGCCCCATTTTAGAGGGGGCTTCTCGGAGAAACACCCCGTGAAGAATCCAAGTTGATGACTCCGTTAGCGCCACTGCTCCATTTGGGCTCTGCTAGGTTTTGATGGTTCTCTCCCAGCTCGTCTGAAATCAAGCTTTGCGTCGGCTGGCTGCAAACTACTTATGTGTTTAAAGGTCTCCCTGCTGGTTCCCCTTGAAACTTCCTTAAATCAAGGAAACAAAGGTACCCTCAAGAACAGATACACAGTTGATGGGACGCATTTGCGGGGGATTTTCTTCTTTTGGGACACACGCCATATTCCCAAAGACACCAACATCGAGGCCTTGTCGGAGATCTTCGTGTTGTTTCCATTGGAATTGTGCGCCCTCGAAAAGCATGAGCTTTGCACGCTCAAGTCTTTGACAGTCGCCCCAAGGCGACGAGCGCACACGAGCTGACCTGTTGAGTTGACTTTCCAGAACAAACATATGTGTTTGTTGGGTTCCCGAGTGGATTGGTGAGAAGTCCAGACTCATTATGGTTTACCTCTAAACTGGCTTTCCCAAAAGTATACAGTCCAGGACTGAAGGGAATGAATTTCCCGCGTGGTTTCTTCTCCACCGAGAAAAAATAAAAAGCTTGCCAACTCAACAAGCAAGGCAATGTGCATATCGAAACTACAGGAGCTCCGGCCGAACCGGCGGCAAGCGCATGCGCGCTGAAGCTCAGGTCCTCGCGCGGTATCCTCGGATCGATGAGCCTGGATAGATAGGCAGCGTTCCGTCCAAGCCTGGGTCCTCGTTGAAACGCGTTGCACCCCCCGCCATTCAAATCACCGGTCTAGAAAACTCCTGGCCCAAGGCGCTGTTTCCATCGCACGTCCCGAAGCCAGTGCTTCTGCCCGTCTGCGGCCGAATCTCACAAGCTTAAAAGCAGAGGCGCCAGCACGTGTCATCCTGTTTGAGGGACTCCCACATTTCGTCTGCCCTTGAAGCATTGGGCATGAAGATAAAGCCAACTAGAAAGTGATGATGCGTCCGCTTCCCGGCTCTTTTGCCGTTTTAACCTGCTCAACTCTGTACAGTACTGAACCGCAATGACCAGGGGTCTCAACTCGAAACCAGGCTTGGGTGCTTCTTAAACCTCAGAATTTGCATGACCGGCGTGTCGCCTCGAAGGCTGCATGTATAAACATGCAGTCAAAAAGTAGATGCGGACTGGGGCAAACCATCGAACCTGTCTCAGAATCCCAGGCGGGGCTCGCTGCATTAACAAGCCCCCTCCGCCCGAGTCCTTCTGTCCCCCCGCTTCCTTCTGTCCCGATCCTATCCGAGCAAAAATGACTAAATTTGCATATCTGAAATAAAGAACCAAGTAAGGTGCATCATCATGTGTGGGCTCATTTCTCCCACTTCTCTCTCTCTCTCTCTATGTACATGTATATATATATATATATATTCGTAAAACATAGACATACACATAGGCTTGTTTTAATTTGCCCACATCTCAGCAATTGTTCAATACATCCAAGACCTCATGGATACGATATCCCCAAGTACAGAATCGCAATATCCCGGTAAAGCCTTTGGCCAAGGGTACCCTTTTTAGGGTGGCTGTTGAAGGGAAGCCACGGGAAAACCACCAGCTTTGGGGGTCCTATTTTGACCAATGCCCAGAGCTCGCCAGAAATCGGCAGATCCCAATCGTGCCGCCTCTGCATCGCTCCCCGCGTCACGGCGCAGGCGTGGCGAAGGCGTCGGTCTTGCGCCGCGCCATCTGCGAGGCAGACATCGCGCGGGTCATCGTGCGCACGGACCCATCCTTGCCCCGGAGACCGATGTTCACATAGCCTGGGCGGCAAAGGGGGGCATTAAACCTAGTGCTATTTGTTTCTTCTCAATTTCCCTTCAGAGCAACCTTGAAGAGTTGGTGCCCTCAACAAACACACGGAGAGGTTCTTTTCAGGGAAAGGCGTTTTGGGCATGTGCCAGTCACCCTTTGGTGTGTCCTTTCTTGATCCAACTAGTGCATTCACTTGGATCTACGGGCAAAAAGGTAGCGCGGATTCTGGATCTTGAGCAAATTGACCATGGGTCTAAACCAGAAGCCACAAACGGGGATCTTGGAACAAGGCCACGGATCTACTGCATCAGCCAGAGTATGGCCACATCATGAGTGGATATATAGAAAAATAGATAAAGGGTACTCCCCCACTGGATTACTTAGGTGTTTGCTCAACAATTCGCCTTTTCGACATTCGATGACATTGTGCTCTCAGCGTGAAAATGCTTCTGCGGCGTTCGTGATGGCCATCCAGAATTCGTTGCAGTTCATAAATGGTTGCTGCTTAGGGCGCACACCCGACGTGAAACGTGATGGGAGTGCAAAAGGCACGTGAGGGGCAGGATGGATCGCACAAACATAAGATCTATGTTTGAAAATATGCTTCCGCTTTTTTGCTTGGCCCAGTCAGTTGCTTGGTTACCACATGGAGACAGATAAGGACAAGGACAGCAATCCCCCATGCCAATAGCTGTGTTCTCCAGCTGTTTTTTGACATCGCAAGAAAGCTGAATTTGGATTGAACTTGAAAACATTCTAAATAGGGTCTGCAGTGCTACGCTAGAACTTGAACAGTTGTTAGTGACCAATGTTTGAATCGAATTAGTCAAGCAAAGGACACCTGAGATAGTTGCTTTGCAAATTTCGCGTAGTTAAGCTGAATTGAAATGTAAATGGAGTTCTGCACATTAAACTGAAGTAACATGTAAATGCAACAAGCACTGTCAAATTTGATTTCGATGTCAATTGCAAGTAGGGCTGAGCTCATTTCCCCCAACTTGATGATTTGCTGAATTTCCCTGCCCGACAAAAATAATAGAAGCAACAATTGCAGGCAGGTTGAAGCTGCCAAAACATGCTTTGCGTTCTCCTCTTGTACTGCAAAGTTGTGCTTTTTGAGCTGGAGCTTCCAACGTTAACGTCGCTTACTGCAATGTGACTTTAAGTACACTTCGCGCGCGCCAATGTGACTTTCAAGCTGTTTAAATAGGAACTCCTTTTCAACGTTGGGCTGAACTTCTGCTTGGTTGGAGCTTGCGTGGAGTTGCTTCAGAGTCTCAAGGCATTTGTCACCCCCAGTTTGGCCAAAAACCTGAGTTCTGGGCACAAACCTGAGTATTTCAAGGGGGGGGGTAGCATATGTATGCATATATATATATATATTATTGGTGCATTCAAAAGGAAACACCCCTCACTCTCCCATTTTCCCCCCACCCCTTAGGAGTCTCCAGATTGCACCGGGCGAAGTCCAAACACACCATGAAGGGCCCGAGTGTCGGTATCACCTATCCGCCGCGCTGTTGCGGGGACAGCCCACTGCGATCGAGCGGCTCGCGCGGAGTTGGTAGAACTTCGAAGCAGCGCTGCCTAAAGCGAGCCGCGGCCTTTGGATTCCTGTAGACTTGAGAAAGGAGACCATTTAATGAAGACTCACCTCACAAAGGGCCATAGACTCCATGCAAGATGTTGCTTTTTGCTCGTAATGAGGGTCATGATCCAAACGGTTCAAAAGATAACCGCAAATGGCAACCAAAATAGAGCCTTGCTCTGCCTTCTGCGTTTGCAGCTGTTGCTTGCTTGCGACTGCGGCAGTTGCAGTTGGGACTGTTGATCGGGCAAGTAGTGGATTGTTGGTGATTGGTATTAACTGTGCTGATTCGGAGTATACACGTCAAACTGGCATCAGCAATGTTGGTTGTCAACTGTGATCTTCCGATGACAGTGCGAAATGCCAATGTTCAAAAGTGACCATGACGCATGATCAATCGGGACGGCTTCAGGTCGGGCTAGGTCTAAATAAATGCTTAGTCAAGTTCTCCCTTCAAGCGACCAAACAGCCAAAAGGAGAACGATGACAAGTCTGCTCACGACAACAAGGAGATTTCAAGCAACACTGACGACCTCAATAATGTTGCCCCAGGATTCACAAACCCGTCCCATTCTTAGGGGATGTTCCCTCCAAAAGTGATGACCCCCCTATCAATCAACCAGGGGTTTATTAATCCGGGGTTAACATTAAGAACAGCATCAAACACAAATCCCACGAACCGCTGCAACCGGCAGCAGCAGCAGCAGCTCTCAGGACATTCTTGCGAAATGGGTCTGCTTCATCCCGTGTTGACGCATGTACGCTCTGTATGGGCGCATGCACGATTCTCCTACAAGGCACGAGCCATAATTTTCCGGTTTGCTGGGCCAACTTTGACACATGCTTAAGGTCAGGCGAAAGACCCATCCTATGATGCGCCCTTGTAAACTCTCAGTCACTAGGCCCGTCACATTGATTCACATTGGGCGGATCTTGGCACTCTCACAGCCTGTACATTCAAAAGGTTCCGCCCCAATCCCCACCCTCTCCCCCCCCAAAAAAAAACACCCCAAGGCCATACTGAGGTTGTTTGGCCGGCCATTTTCTTCAGGAAACCAGCGGGTTTTTTTGGGCTCGAGGTGCCAGGTCGATTCGAGGACTTGGAGGCGCTCCTGGCTCCATGTCTCTCCCCAATTCATCTGGGTGCGTCTTCCTTAATGGCTTTCCTTTTGATTTCCCTTTAAGAAACCATCCATGGCACGGCATAGGATATACTAGAGTACCCCTTTGGGGGTTGGTTTAAAGGCAAACCACTGGGAGTGCCACTTTTTGTGGGTTTGCCTCGTTTGATACATACCGAGGATGCAAGCTCACCAGTCTCAATCAAAAGTACTCTGCCTCACGATTTCCGGAAAATTGATTCGGCAAGTTCAAGAGTATCTTTGTGTTTGGAGTGGCAACCCACGCAGCTCGCAAGCCACATATCTGCAAGGGATCTGTTGAACACCGCCAAGGTCAAAGGCTCTCATGGTGCCCTTCTGAGGCTTGGTTTCTTAATCAGAAAG